GATGCAGTGGCATTGTTGCCAAGTTTTCTGAGGCACATTGGCAGGCGCTATATTCAAGAGACTTGGTTCTTTGTCCTCACTTACTCTTCTATCCTAGATGCTAGCTTTTGTGGATTTTGTGATGCTGATTGGGCTGGTGATTTTGAGACCAGGAAATATATTGCAGCTTGCTCCACCTATAAGGAAGCAAGCAACATCTCGATCAACCGGAACCTGAGAAAGAGAACACTAAGAAGCACTTACCAATTGTAAGTGAAGAGATATGCAGAAGGTACGGTGAACAAAAATAACTCTAGGATAGTCGAATATCTATAATAATAAGAACGAAGAACCCACACCCCCGCAGCCGTCCGATCCCAGGCCTGGGGCAGCCTCGGAAGCCATGGTTGTCGGCAAGGGGAGGCCAGCCCAGGCTCGGGCCAGGGCCGGTGGCCATGGTTAGCGGGAATATTGGTTCAATGTTGTGGTGGCCAATGGGCGGGATGCACATGTGGCTGGGAAGGGAAGAGGGTGTGGTGACAGGTGTTATGCCATGCACCCCTAGGGCTCCATGGCTGGCTGGAGTTTGAGGCCGCAGCTAGAATCGCTGTGCACATCAAGGAGGGTGGACGCGCTGCTGCTGGAAAAGACCAATGGCTTCTAGCGTGGTAAGAAAAAGTTCCATGTAACTGATTCAGTTTCCTTTCATTAGAGCTATGGCCCTAGTGACTCATGAAACTTTCCTGTAGAGATTTTGGAAGCCACTTCCAATGCACGTAAGTAGAACCGTGCCTGTCACTGGGTCAGGCTTGATACTAAACTGCACTCCCATGAATTCTTTGATGTGTTGCAGCGTCTTGATACCGTAAGAAGAGAGCTTACCGACCCTGACTTTGGAAACATCTTCCGGGCACAGAGCACAGAGGATGAACAGCAACCCCTGTATGGCAAACAGGAAAGTTTGTGAGATCGCCTTCTTTCCTTTCTAGCTTCACAGATAGATACCTGGTGAGTTGAATCTACAACTCCTCCCAGCTTTATCTCCTGTAGCAAGGACATGGCTGCTTGCGTCCCCAGGTCCTCTGGAAGCTGGAGCTCGGATGCTCCTGAATGCGTAGCCACGCACTTGGAGCTTAAAATGCAGCTAGTGGTCGTTTCTGCCACCAGTGAGATCCCATAGCCCGGAGATCTGTGTCATGACAAAGGAAGCAAGATGAAAAAAGTTTACTTTGCAGCACAAAATCATGGAACTTACTTCCCGGACTCCGAACCAGTATAGTGATCAGTAACTGACGAGTGCTTGAGTTCAGGTAAGAAACATATTTCTAGCGCGTCCACCTCTTTGTAAATCACCCAACATTTGCTGGGCAAGTACTCGTATCATCATAACTAAATATACATGATCAAGAGACATATTTTAACAAAAACGATATAAAAAACTTTTAATACAAGTAGTCAGACATATTTATAAACTTACCCTAAGTACGTCTTTTGTTGGTATTTTTGAACGCCGGCTCAGAAGCTGGTCGCGCTTTAAGCGCTTCCTGGGTAATCTCTATCCGTATAGAGCATAATAAAATGATAATGTCAAAACCCTAGGGCGTATACAATATGTTAAAGATTGTTTTAGGGTTCTTGGATGTCGGTGCCTAGCGCCAAGGGCGCTGATGCAAATGCTGCCCAGGGCAACAAGATTTCGCTCAGGAGGATGACGCCCAAAAGGAAGCGATTGGTGTGCGACGAGGACGACGAGGACGAGCCGGTGCAATTCGCGGAGGCGATGAAGCAGAGCGCGTGGAAGGGAGGGTTTTGCATCCAAGAGAGCCCCGCCGGCGATGTTGATACTGCCAAGAATGCCTCTAGCATCGAGGACGAGGTTCGTTTGTGTCTTCGCGAATTTTTTGATCTGGGAAAAGAGAAAAAGAGAAATTTTCTTTCTTTTCGTTGCAGCTCCCTGTTGCTGTGGTTCCCGACGACGATGGCATGGTAACTTTCTAGAATCTTTTTTCTTCTCGCGAGCTTTTAGAATGCGTTTTTCATATCCAGCCTCGGGCGAGAGCGAAATGGCGGCCATACGAGGGTCACGTCCCTCTTTTGCCGGAGGCTCCAGCTTTTTACCCGGACAAGGATGTAAGTTTTGTTCTTTATAGACTCGTACAAAACAATGTGATCGAAGGTTTCACCATGACTAACTAACTTCGTTGGTGACAGGAATTCTCTGATCCGATCAAGTATATCAGCAGCATTCGTCAGGACGCAGAGCCTTATGGCATTTGCCGCATTGTTCCTCCGCGATCGTGGCGTCCTCCGTGCGCTCTGGAAGATGAAGCTCGTTCTGGGACGGTGAAGTTTACCGTTCGCAAGCAGAAGATACACAAGTTGCAGAAAAGAATGCAGCAGTGTAGCAGTGATTCCTCCTCGTCGTCTCCAGTGCCCTTTGGATTCCAGGCAGGGCCTGCTATGTCGCTCCCAGAGTTCAGAGCGTACGCAGAGGCCTTCATGAAGAGCTATTTTACAACTGACGAAGAGCTGACGGCGACCACCGTGGAGGATTTTGAAGGGGAGTACTGGCGTATCGTGGAGTGTCCGACAGAGCAAGTCGAGGTAGTGTCTCTTTCTTTTCTTTCGTTCGTTTTTGTCATCCTGCTAAACTCGGGTGAACAGGTAATTTATGGTGCTGATTTGGATACAGCAAAGGTTGGGACTGGATTTCCTAAGCCCAAACCAGAACCTGTACAAAATGGTGCTTACGAGAAGTCAGGCTGGAACCTTAATAACTTTGCAAGAGCCCCCGGATCGATGCTTTGTTTCGAAGACGCAGAGATTTCAGGAGTAGTTGTCCCGTGGGTTTACATCGGCATGAGCCTGTCCTCGTTTTGCTGGGTGAGTGAGCTTCTATCGTTTTTGTTTATGTGAAAATATCGAGTTTGCATTGCAGCATGTCGAGGATCACTTTCTCTACTCCATAAATTATTTGCATTTTGGAGGGGAGAAAGTTTGGTACGGAGTTCCGAGAGGCTCTGCAACCATGCTGGAGGACACCATGAAGAGACACCTGCCAGATTTGTTCATGGACCAGCCAGATCTTTTGCAGAAGCTGGTAAGTTCTTCTCTATTCAAGCGCATTGCTTTCTAATCTGTAATCAAATTTGAAAAACTAACAGGTAACACAGTTCTCGCCATCAATTCTCAAAGACGAGAAAGTTCCCGTTTATAGAGCAGTACAGCGTCCTGGTGACTTTGTAGTTACGTTTCCACGGGCATATCACTGTGGTTTTAGCACGGGTTTCAATTGTGCTGAAGCGGTTAACTTTGCTCCGATGGACTGGCTTGTCCACGGGCAAGCCGCTGTCGAGCTCTACCAAAAGTTCCGGCGGAAAACGACTGTTTCTCACGACAAACTGCTCTTCGCAGCGGTTAAGGCTTGCATAGACGCAGCCAAGACTGATGGCGTCAGGGCTCCTTTCTGGCGGCAAACACTAGAAGATGTCGACCGACTGAGCACGCTGATGAAAGCATGTAAGGTGAGTATCTGCTCTTTGTTCGTTTTTGTTTTGATCTCACTGTCGAGAGAATTGCAGGCAAGGATCCAAACGGAGCACTCTAGAAGAACTTGGCGGGACGATATCAAGTCCCGGAAAATGGACGCTGACTTTGATCATACAGAAGAAAGGGAATGTTTGCACTGTCACTATGACTTGCATTTGTCCGCAGTCTCCTGCGACTGTAGCCCCGGACGGTTCGCGTGTTTGGAGCACGTCGACTTGTTGTGCAAGTGTCCGAAAGAAAGCAAGTACGGTCTTTACCGGTATGATCTCTCAGAGCTATACGGCTTCCAGACGGCACTGGAGAAGCTGCTGAAAGACATAACGGAGAAAGGCGAGTGCCTTGTGGATGCCAGTGGCGGCGGCTCAGTAATGTCAGTTCCTTCCAAGCACATCGCCTCAGTCGCTTCGGCTCGATGTAACAAGGACTCGGGAAGTAGTTCCGAAAAGAAAGCGATGGACTCGAAAGTCAAGGCAACGCCGGGAAAAGACTGTCCTCTTGTGGTTCTCAGCGACGATGACGACTACGAAACAAACTTCGTGAAGAAAGAGGTTGAAGACGAAAAGAATGTTTTGGAGGAGCCTGTAGAAATCGCAACGCCGGCCCTCAAGCTAGAACTTCTCGACGTGGGGACACTGTCGGCAGCAGGCTGGTGCAGTAAAGCTTCGATCTTTCCTCCAGGTAAATCACTCGAGTTCTTGTTTTGCTTGTTCTCACTTCCTCTCGGCAGGCTTCAAGAGCCGAGTTCTTTATTACAACTTCTTGAACTTGTCCCAGCCATCGCATTATGTATCCGAGATCGTCGACTGTGGTGCCGAGGAGCCATATTTCAAGGTGAGACACACTGCCTATGCGACACTACTAAGCCCGAGTTGAATTCTCACAGGTATCACTCGAGAATTCGCCGCACACTTTCGTGGACGTGTCGGCTGATCTCTGCTGGCGAGCCATCCAGCGGCGGCTCAACTTCGAGATACACTCAAAGCGGAAGCTGGGAAATTTCAGCGTTCCCCGAGAAAGGCCGGTGGAAGAAATAAGCGGCATCGCCATGTTTGGCTTGAGCGACCCCGCGATCAAAAAGGTATTTTGATTGATCGAAAGCTCTCCTCTCACACTCGTTCGTTCTCAGGTAGTGGAAGCGCTGGATAAGAGGCACGTATGCCGAGCTTACTGGGAGAAAACTTTCTCGACGGAACTAGATTCTCTCGCGCTACTGAGAAATCTATTCCTAAAGGGAGACAAGGACGAGCTATGGGCGCTACACAAAGTCTTGGGCGCTGAGTGGGGGAAAGATATGTGGAAGCAATGCTTTCAAGCGCTGGCTGACGTTCTCGAAGGCCTCCTGGAAAGATCGGTCAGGAAATAAAGTGGAATGGAACACCTTTAAATTATTCGTCGCATACGAAATAATGATTCGTCGGATATTCGTGTACGGAATACGGAATGATTATTCGTGGTATATGCGTGCACGGATGATTCCTGGCATTGTTCGTGGGTTTATTCGCGGGATAATACTTGCAACGTACGGGGGTTTAACCATTTTAGGGCACAGCGATGGCATGGGAGGAGGACGCTTCGTGGATGGGATCGTCCATGGAGGGCTCGTCATCGGTGAGCATGGGGGTTCTAGCAGAAAGGAAGCGAAAGTCCCCGGAGATCGAGGTGTGCATCATCTCGGATGCATCGGATCAAGGCGAGGGGAGGAGGAGGAGATGCGTGAGGAGCTGCGGCGGCGATGAGAGGGTCCGATCGGGGTACCGGCTGCGTGCCAAAATCCGCGGCATTGAGAGGTTTGATCCCTTTGCATCGTCGGCGGGGGAGATGGCCAGGAAGAAGCGGCGCATGATGGAGAAGCGGCAGCGAGAGCTTGAGGATGATGCTGGAACGCCGCTGCGCGCTTGCCTGTCCGAGGGCTGTGGCGCCAGAACTCCAGTCTGGAAGGAGCATTTGGATCGAGAGGGCAAGAAAACCAGTCGCCGCGAAAAGCCTGAGAAATCCAAGGGAAGCTCGAGGGAGAAATCGGAGGCCAGGGACGCTCTTCCCCCTCGTCCTCCTCCTCCTTCTCCTCCTCCTCCGCCTCCTCCTCCGCCTCCTCCGGTTGCAAAGCAAGCTCGAACGATTTACAAAGAGGAAGAAGCGAGAGTTTCTCCCAGCAAAGTTTCCGCGAGGAAGAACTTGGGGGCGACGATGAAAAAATCGGCAAAGAAAAGGTCGATGCTGGAGGACATGATCCGGGAGATCAACGAGAGGCAGCGAGTCCCAGGGATGGGAAAGAAGAGGAAGAAGAAGAAGATCACGGCTGCTGGTGCTCGCGATCGAGCTCCAGTGGAGGAGAAGAAGCCTTACGTCAAAGTGGAGGTTGACGAGCTCGTGCAAATGCGGTGTGAGGTGGAGGAAGGCCAGCGGATGCTCGAGAATCTCAGGCAAAAGGTGGAGGAAGCGCAGCAGGAGCTCAACTACAAGAAATCCAGAGTGGAGGAGCTGGAACGAAAGAAAAAGCTCGAGGACGAGAGGAACGTCGCTGCTGCCGCTGCTGCTCGAGGAAGACGAGAACGAACAAGGCCTTCTTACTTTCCAGTTCACAAGGCGTTTGATAGAAGGTGGGACGATCCCGCTTTTGGTCCCGGTGAGGCGGAGGAGGAACAACAGGAAGAGTCCAAGGAGAAAAATGGCAACCAGTCGGATTCTTCGTCCTCGGACGGGAGCCTCGTGAGTTCTTCCCTTCCTTTTCCCAGATTTTCTTTGTCCGACTAAAGTTCTTGGTCTCTATCCCTCTCTAGCAGGTTGCGGTGAACAAATATAGCACTTCTCAAGACGCGGACGAGTTTCGTGACAAGCTTCGCAAGGAGCTCTCCCGGCCTTTCTGCCCGCAGGAGTTGCGAGAGAAGTTCAAGAGCGTTAGGCTTCAAAAGCCGATCATTCGCTCGCGTGATCTCCGTGGCCAGCGCAGCTGCCAGTTTCCGAATGGCAAGGAGGGCCTGTCTTACCTCGATCATCATCCAGGTGAGAAACAACAGCATTGTCTCCCACTTTGTTTCTCAACTCTGGGACTTACGTTCTTTTTACCAGATTTTGCAGCGGCTCTCAAGGTGGCTGTGGATCCAAAGAGCCAGCTTCGACTACTACGCGAGTTTTTCTTTTGGCTCAAGGTAGAAGTTTGTCTGGTTGTTTTTCCAATTGTGATTTCTCTTTATCTCTCTCGCTCCTTGTTGTCCCATAGCACGCGTGCGTGGAAGGCTCTTTCCGACCATGGAATCCACACAATCGTGGACTTCTACGCGAGAAGGGCCCAATCTCAGTGAAAGATGAAGTTATCGTCCTCGACTGACGAGATCAAACCCGTAAGAGTTTTACTCACAGACACTACGAGTTCCACACACAGTTGAGAATAGTGTACAGGAAAACCAATCAAACAAACATTTTTTCTGTAAGAAAAAGATGGTTTTTATCTTTGCTCAACATGGTGGACAAGATCCTCTAAAGTTTGGAGAGGTGGTGGATGTTGAAAGGCCACACATCGGAGCCATTTGGAGCAGCGAACCAAAATCTCCGCGCAGCCAAGTGGTTGAATCTTCCAGTCGGGTGGAACAAATCCCAGAAAACGTGCTCGGACGCGTTGGTGCAAGTCGGAGCAAACATGAAACACTCGAAGTAGCTCCCGAAAGGGCAGCACGGCGTGTTAACATTCGAGAATCCTTGCAAAAGCGAAGACAAAAAATGGTTTTTTTGCGAAGAACTTTGCGTGAGAGATGGAGATCTTTACCGTGAGCAGTGCCGTTTTTGATGGTTGCGGTCATGATCTCGTAGAGATTGGCGTAAACCATATGACTCTCGATGAGCGTGAGGCGGAGCTCCTCGACCATGGCGTGGAGTTTGCGGTTGTAGCTTCGCGCGGCACCGTCGTAGTCACTGGCGCACTGGCCGGGCGTCTCGAGCCTGTAGATGTAGAGCGACATTGGATTGCATCCCAGCGCGGCCACCGAAGAGATGACGAACTTGCGAGCGTTCAAGCCATAGAGTTCCTGGATGGATCATAGAGTTGTAACATCAAAGCTCTCTAGAAAAGATGAAAGAAGGAGAGTGAGAGAGTGTCACTGACTTTGATCTGGCGACGAAGGATGGAGATGAGGAGGTCCTCGAACTGGTCGAGAGTGTAGTTTCTCTGGAGCGTGGGGTTCCTGTAGTAATTGTTTGCGAAGTCGTTGTTGCCAATGGAGATGTAGAAGATGGACTTGGAGACGAGCAGGGACGAGTTGTAAGCTCCCAGTGACGAGTCGAGCGCTTCCTTTGCCTCCCGGAAGTACTCGATTTGTCTATACAAGGGAGCGTGATCTCCCTGGAAGAAAAAAAATATAAAACCATTCGTCACGCAAAGATGACGGAATTGCAAAAAGATCTCACCATGCCAGCCCCAGTACTGTTGTGGATCCCTGCGCCTCCGGATCCAAAGTTTGCTCCTTGAAGAACGTTTCCTCCAGCTCCCAGGTAAGGAGGAGGGAATGGAAGATTCAAAAACGAAGCTTCAGAGACGAAAAGATCAGATTTTTCTTGTGAAAAAAGGATGAATTCACCATCACCTATGTAGTCGGGTATGAGCCTCCCGTCGGTGAATCTCCCCGTAGCTCGGTGCTGGTCGAAGTTCATCCCGAAAGGTGGGAAGTTTGCCCGGGAGAAAGTGTTCAAGTAGTTGTTGTTCCCGGCGTCCACCAGCGAGTCTCCAAACACGAACAATGCGGGAGTTTGCGAGTCATTCTGGCACGAGCCTCTGGGGAGCAGCGCAAGGAAAACCAAGGCAAGAGCTCCGCCAGCCATTGCCATTCTTCCTAACAAACAAATCCAAAAGAGAGGATCAAAGAAAAGAGAGATTTTTTCTTGTGTGTTTCAAACTTTGGAGCTCACCCATGGATCATCCGATTCACAGTCGGCGCTTGCGGCAAGATCACAAGCACCACTCCTTGTCGATGGATTTAAAGCTGCTGTTGTTGCAACGACAAATGTATGCTAGACTATAACACAAAAACTAAGCTTTGATTTTACCAGGAGCTGCCTCGCGGCTACCGGATTTTGTCATGGCTCTTTCAAAGCGCTCTCCCTCGACCTAAATCCACCTTGACGATACCCAGCCAAAGAAAATGGAAAGAGCGTGACCACTTTCTTTTCCTTCCTCGCAAGAAAGAGGGGGTGTCATCTTTCCCAGTTCATCAAAAGAAAATATCACAGGGACTCACAATTGGGGTGGTGGCGCAGTTGGCTAGCGCGTAGGTCTCATAGCTTCTGAGTTATCCTGAGGTCGAGAGTTCGAGCCTCTCTCACCCCAAAAGCTACTTTTGGTTTTTACATTTGGTTACAGTTCTTTGTAGAAGCTAACTTATTGTTCTTTTCTTTTGATCACAGGTTAAAAGCATATTGTGGAGATTTCGAGATCTCAGAGGATAGCTTGATATCAAATGGCTGTTTTTACCTTGTTTGTGATGATGTTTTTGGTGTCCACGCATTGTTATCAGCTAGAGAGTGATCCATATTGCGATTTGAGTCTTTTATTTCGATACTAAATTGTAAGTGACGAAATTTTCCTTTTACTTTAGTCACTTAATCACACTTTCGACCATTTATAAGAATTTCACTCACAACATCTGTAAAGGTATATTTAACTTTCTTATGCCATTAAGAAGTTTTGGGTAGAAATTAGCAAATCCTTGGTTACTTCAGGTTACCATTTCATCATCTGCAATGCTTGGAAGGCTGTGCCAGGATGCCACGCCTGCGCAAACTAGACGCAAATGGTCAAGAGCGAGTGCTCTCTACACGGAGTATCAATCTGTGAAGCTAGTTTCTTCTCTCTTTGATAGAACTATAGAACAAAAATTCTGCCCTTTTGATTGATTATCTCGAGCAAGAGAAAGAACAAAACTGTCGCGTGTTATAATGATAGAAGCTAGAGTTATTTTGGAGCGAGAGCGTAAACGAAGATCATATCGCCTACGCGGATACCTTCTCGGCGGGAGCCGCTGCCTCTTGGATCTCGCCAAGAGCTCGGCTGTCGAGCGCCATTCCCATTGTGTGAAGCCCATTGTCTACGTAGAACACGGTTCCGGAGATGGCCGACGCAAGTGGCGAGGCGAGGAAAGTGGCTGCGTTTCCAATATCATCTGTGCGAAAAGAGTATATAGCGAAGTAAGCAAACCAAGCAAGCCAAGCCAAAGTTTTTAACGCACCAGCTTCGAGATCTCTTTGCAGGGGAGAGTTTGCCTTGGAGTAATCGATCATCTTCTCAATGAATCCGATTGCCTTGGCAGCTCTGCTTTTCAAGGGACCTGAAAAGCATGTCATGCATGAGCCACAGCTTTAATAGATTTGTAAGATTTTACCTGCTGAGATTGTGTTGACCCTGATCTTGTATTTCCTTCCGGCTTCGAACGCGAGAACCCGTGTGTCACTTTCTAGAGCTGCCTTGGCCGAGCTCATCCCTCCACCGTAACTGTTACATGTCACCACATTATGCGCAGTCGAGCCAAAGAGAGAAGAAACCAAAGACAACGGTAGTGTAGTTACCCGGGAATGGTTTTTTCAGATGCCATGTACGTCAAAGAAATGACTGAGCCGCCTATAATGATAAAAAAACGATTGGAAATCTGCAAGAAAGGAAAACACTTGCCTTGATTCATAATTGGAGCAAAATGTCTGAGGAGAGAGACATGTGAATACGCTGATGCGGAGCTAGCCGCGAGGTATCCTTTCCTCGAAGTCTCTAGAAGAGGCTTCGACACCTGAGATCGAAACAAGGAACCACGATGAACAAAAGAAATCGACGATCAGGATTAGAGGAATCTGAATCTCTTACTTCTGGACCATTCGCAAGAGAATGAACGAGAATATCAATGCTGCCAAAGTCTTTTTTCACGCTGTCCACCACTTCCTGCAGGCGGCAACATTGCGAGAACAAAATCGCTTCGATTCAAGCAATAAAGCTTTTTCGTACCGTGACGGTCCAGGCAGAAGCTCCGGCATATCTCTTGTTGTTTTTTATCTGGTGCATGCCACAAGGTAGAGTAAACAGCTATCATGGCAGCAATTAAAATAACAACTCACCTCATCCGGAACGTCTTCAGGGCAGTCAAAGACTGCATCCAGGGGGTACACTTTCGAGATCTCGAACAAGGATCCATTTGGCAATCTAAAAACCGGAAAGGGTCACTACTTCTACCAAAAGGAAAAAAAAAAAAGGGGAAAAAAACAAAGAAAACGCAAAAACTTACTGTCTCGACTCATCGAATTTTCCTCTCCTCAAGCTGGTTTCAAAGATATTGAGAGCCTAAAAGAATAGAAAAGTTAGCACCCAACAGTTGAAAGAGAGCTAAACAAGAAACACGAAGTCATGAATTACCGGAACCCAGGTTCCCAAGAGAATTTCAGCCCCGGCAGAAGCAAGCGTTTTGGCAATCGCCCATCCATATCCTTGATCATCGGCCACTCCAGCGATAAATGCCCTCTTCCCTGCATGCGACAGAAACACGAGCAACAAAAGGAAAATTCACAATGCATGCATGAAAGAAGAAATACCCGTAAGATCGATAGCCAGTCCCGGAACTCCAGCCCCCGTTCCATTCGATCCCGCCGACGCCATGACGACACCGCTCTTAGCACTATTCCTCACGCTGGAGCTGCAAAATCCGCTGCTTTTCAGTGCCGAGAGCGCACCGCTCCTCTCGAAAGGCCTGGCATTGAAGGAGACGACGGATCTGGCAGCATCGGGAGCGACGAGCGAAGCGACGGACGTGGACGAGGTGCCGCGCGCGACCGCGAGCATTCCACTACCTGCAATCAGCGACGCCATTGCTGGATCGAAGCGCGAAATCCCGGGAGCTGCTCGATCGATCGCGAAGCCGCTGCCAAGGAAAACCTAGACGCGCATATACAAACACACACCAAAGAGCATGCAAACGGAGAGCTCAATGTGGTGTCCTTGGCAAAGCCCCAGTGCAAATGTCCCGGTGTCCCTAGCATTTAAATAACACGCTCAAGGACACGCTCCACCGTCCCTTCCCATCCACGGTCCAAACAATTCCACCTTTGCTATAAACTACTCTCTTTTCCCATCCTAAAAAAAATAATGCCACAGAGAATTCTCGGGGAGAAGTTCTTCTAGCTCATAGAAGTTCTTCCAGATGATCTAATCCAATGCATTCTTTCCCTTTGGTATCGTATCTCGATCGATCACGGACTCGGGCCAGAGCGTCGCCGCTTGGGATCACGATCGAAGAGATTTAAGTTCAAGGAGACATCCTCGCTTAAGTTCTTCTTTGGATCCCCCCATCCTGTTCCTCCCGTGGCTGCCGACGATCCTCCACCATCGCCGCCTTCCGGTGGAGAAGTTGATGCCAACGCCAGCCCGATCTCAAAGGGAGGAACCGGCAGCCGTATCTGGAGATCGATGTTCTTGTTAGCTTTGGACGCTAGAGGAGCAGCGTGACGAGAGACAGCTATCGGAGAATGCCGTGGCGCTGCTGCTCCCAACTCCACCGGTCCCTGTGACGAGCCCGGCTCGATCAAATTCCCCGAAGAACGCAACCTCTCGTGCGGTGCCAGCATCATATCCATCTTGGAGTAATCCTTTGGAGACGCGTCTGGCACCCCGGTTGCTCCCACCGCGATTGACGACCCCCACCGCCGTTGTTCTTCCAGAGCGTCTGTGCCGCAAACACGTAAAAACGTAAGAACACCAGCAAGAGGAAGAAAAACTTCTTTTTCTTCTGGAAAAATGTCACCTTGCAAGGACGTCTCGGTGGTTATCAAGTCCAGTTGTAGCAAGTCAAGCAAACGGCCCAAGTCGACGCCACTTGTCCAGTTCTCGGGCCCGTGCCCGCTTCGCAGCTTCAAACGCCCCCTGTTTGCTGTGCCACCCCAGATGATTCCCACTGGCCTGGGATTCTCACACCGTTCCCACGTCATGGATATTAAGCTGCCACTGTCCCCTTCTAGATCGAATGCCTGCTTGTTCTCCCCCACGATAAGAAAGTCCGTGAAAAAGCAGATGCCTTTCTCATCATTGTATTCGACCGCATACGCCATGATAATGCCTTTTGTAAGCCCGGAGCTCCTCCCCACCTTGACCACGTGTTGCCCCACAATGGACTCGATTGGTGCCTGGAGATCCACTCGGAAAACTTCCCCCAGCTCCCCCAGGCTGTGAACTCTGACCGACACTTTGCTTGTATCAAATGATTCCGCAAACGGAATGAAAGCCCCGTCCGCTCGCACAAACGTCTCTAGAGCAGCGGAAATCAAGAAAAAACGAAACGTAAGTGCTTCAAGCTTTGAAACGGAGTCATCAACAAAGCTCACCTGGATTCATGCCAGCGAAAATGCCATACCACAGATCGTCGGTGATGAAGGACGTCGCCCTTTCTACTGCGCCGAGGTATACCCCTGGTCCAAGGTTTGGCGGCAGAGGATGAAACATCTTTTGGTTTGGGTAATCTAAGTCGACAGCTACGTGCCTGTTTGTCAGGAAACCAACTTGCCTTGCACCCGTCTGACTTCGAACTATAGCACCTAGCGTACCATAAGTCTCTTGACTTGCTACCTGTTGTAGGTAGTTCAAAGTCAGGGACGCAATAAAGCTCAGTCCATACCTGTGATCCGGAGCCAATGCACGGATCGTTACCACGCAACCCTTCGACCAGCTCGGAGTAAATTTGCTCCTTTGGTGTCACGGTCGAAGCGCCATAGTACGAGAATTCAACCACATCTACATCACACCAAACTCCCCCAGGCCCCTGAGTAGAGAAACTGTTACTTCACCAGCGAGTTAAGAAGCCGAGAGCGGTTTTACATGCACTAGTTACCTCGAGAGCAGTCGGCAGTCTCTGGACGTCGAGAAGCCATTGCTTGTGGACCTTGCGAGCCACAAAGACAATGATAGCCGGGATGTTGGTCAGCACCCCAGCTCGCGTCCGGAACCCGAGCGCTGTTCCAAGGCTGTAGCGGCGTAAAACTTTGCTGTGGAAGGCCCGAATGGTCATCAAATCTAGCAGAGTGGAGGCTTGCTGGCCGCTGGGCACCCGCTGCTGCGTGTCCATCTCCGCATCTTTCTGAAGCCCACTAAAATAAGCGGCTCGCTCCTCCGCGGTTCCATTTATCCGAGCCGGCGGCCAGAGGACGTAGGCAGCACTGCTCTCCGAATGCTGACCGCCGGAGGCCACCGCCTGGAGAGGCGGGCTCTCGGACCGTGGATGCCTGGAAGTGCTACCGGGGTAGTAAGTCCAGTCCTTGTTCTGGCGCTCTTCGCCGCCCAACAAAGCTGGCCGTGTTGCTCGCAGCATTCGCGTGATGTCCATCTCCTCGCTGGGCCTGCAATTCCGTCTGTACTCTTGTTACCGCAGTGGAATATCAAAGAAGGAAAGACCCATGATCATCTTAACGATGGAAAGAACAAAAACAGAAATCCATGATCATCGAAAATGGAAGACGGAGAAACCCATGATCATCTTAACGACGAGAAGAACAACAAAAACCCATGATCATGGGAAGAACGAAGAAACGTCTAAACACCCACAGCAGCCCAAAACTTCCCCACACTCGTCAACATGATCAAGGCACGACCCAAAAGCAAAGCACCCGAAAAAAAAAACAACACAGGGAGGAGCAAAAAAAAAAAACATTCCAAACACACACACACAGCCACAGCGTACCAACAAAAAAAAAAAAAAAAAAACTAATGCAGCATTGTCCCAGAAAGGATTGGAACGATATTTCCCAAATTGGAAAGCCCTGTGATCCATCCAAGAAGCAAGAACACGCACGCGAGCAATGAATCAATGCAAGGGCACGAAATATCGCGAGGCCGGATCAAGACGATCAGAATGAATGCAATGCGCGGAGGAGGAGGAGGAGGACGAGTGGCGGATCGAAAACGCGCTTACCTATCCCAGTGGATGAGCTCCTGCGTCCGAAACGAGACCTTCTTCTGGACGAAGTAGGGAAATCCCATGCTAGGGCCGCTGCCGCCGCTGTTGATTCCACTCCCGAGCTCCTCCTGCTCGCCGCCGCCCAGCTCCACCTCGCAAGCCGGCAGCTGCGTCGCCTCGCTCACCGCCGGCGACACATCCTCCTCTTCCTCCTCGGGATCTTCCTCAAGAACCACGCATCCGGCGTCCTCGGCGTCCTCCTCGGCCCTCGCCTCATCGCTCGCCTCCTTGCGGCCGGAATGATCGATATTTCGGGCGCGATCTTTGCGAAGGCTCTGCATCTGTGTGCCCGGAGATCGAGAATCCAGCTATGGCGAGAAGAGGAATGGGGTGAAGAGGAGGAACAAGAAGAGGGGGAGCTCACGAGCGCTGCCCCACTGCCATGCGGATCCAAATGTAGCTAGCTAGGGCGCGCCGCGGCGCGCTCGCCATAACCAAGCTCTCTTTCCCTCGGACGAGAGGAAAAAAAAAAAGAGAGGACCGACACCAAAACACCGACCCGGCGAGTGTTCTGGGCGCCCACTAACGCCGCGGCCTATACGCCAAAACGCCGCAGAAGAGATCCCCCGGTATCCTACTCGAGGACGCCGTATTTACAACACCTGGCGTACGGGCGGACGTGATGGCGCCATGTACGGCGCGCCGGGGAATATGCGCATATGCTCCATGTGTTGACATTTTCCGTACGGAGCGTACGGGCATATGGAATATACCCTGGCCCGGGAATTGACTTCTGGGTAGTGGGCGGTGTTGTCCGAAACGAGGAGAAAAGATTGAAAGCCACGGTTTGTCTCATTCAGCGCAGCGTAGAAACAAAACCACCTAAAGGAGATATATTAGGGTTTGTCTCTTTGAGCAGAGAATATTCCATGGCCTGCCGTACATACTGGTACGGAATTTCGCAGAGAATACTCCACAGCCTACCTTACATGAGTACGCCGCTGATAGTATCATGAAAATTTCATGAAAATCGATAGCTTATTTACCCAGAGCAAGCTTTGAGTTCCTGTTTGTACACTGGCTTGGTTTGTGAGGTTGTATAGCTTTCTTAGCGTAGCAGCAGCCCAGTGGTACGTTCCCAGTGTTTCTTTCTCTTTTTTTCTCGTGGTCCTCCTTCTCGGAGCTGCTGAGATTTTTTGATGACTGATCGATCGATCGATCGCTGCTGCTGCTGCTCGCTCTTGCGCTTATACTGTGCTTTTACTCCTTGGCGCCACCACCGCGGAAGGAACCAGACTTATTTCCAAAGTTTCCATAGCTCAAATCGCGACCCTGCAAAAGTCCACTCGAGAGAGTCAGTAACACTCGGGAGAGAAGGAAGGGAACACTCACACTCGATGGGAGTCAAGAAACCAACGATAGAAAAGCAAGACAAAAACAAAACCAGTCGAAAGTAAAAGCAAAAGCAAAAGCAAACCATGGAGACATCTCTTATTCCTCATCGCATGCCAGCCTCCATCGCGATGAAAGATGGAAGATAGATACGCCGAGAGAGAGCGAGGGAGCGAGGGAGAGTTCCACAACACCCAACGAAGAAAAAAACGAAAGAAGAGAGAAAAAAAAAAAACCACGAAGAACCCCCGCCTCCCCCTCACTGCTAGAACTCAAGCTCTCTCTCTCACACCTCCCTCTCACCACTCTCTCTCTCCGGTCACGTAGTCGGATGACGATTAAATACCATCCGCTTAGGCTCAACTGAGGAGATAGCTGAGCTTCGCTGCAATGGTGCTGGGCTAAACACAGGGGGACCAAAGAACCGTGCTTTAGCTAGAGCTTCCGATGGACCAACCAGTCGTGACTTGGGTACAGGATCAAGCGGACCTAGGAAACGCGACTTGGCTGCATCAAGCGGGTTCAGTTTCTTTGGTACAATGTGACGAACCAAGGGTGGTCGGGTCTGATCTTCCACCACATCTCCCTGCAAAAATCCCACACACAGTTTTCTATTCATTCCCATTGCAAGTAATCATGAAAAGGAGAAAAAAACGAGAGGGAGATGAGGAACCAAACGAACAGAATCGCCGTAAAAACTGTCAAGCATTCATGCATTGCAGGCTCAGGTGGGAAGAAAAGGGAGAAACGTACGCTGTCTTTGGTTGCTGCCGCACTGTCAGGCTCCAAGTTCTTGTGCTTCGGGTTCTCCACCGTGGACGTCGCTGCGGTACCATTTATTTGTCTCCATGGGATATCCGAGTTCCGAGGAGCATCATGGGTATCTTGGACGCCTGCATGCATGAAACCGTCAACGAACCTTCGACGAGGAGATAAAAAAGAAATGTGTTTTCAGGCTGGGCTCAAAGACTAGTCTACCTTGGACCCTGTCAGCAGCAATTGTTGCACCATTGCTCGTGCCTACGAGCCCAGCCTATAGAGGGCGTAACATGCACTGTATCAGAAATAACGTCGTAAAAGACAAACGACATAGCGCTAACCATTCCTCTTGGGGGGCCACTAGACATTTGCGCTTGTTGATATTTTAGTATCGTCCAATCAAACACGTAATCGAATTGGAAACCTGCTCAGATAAGAAAGGCTGCTTGTTAGAGCGTACTCATGAAATATGCTGTAAAAGTAATAACCTTCTCGAATAAATAGATCGCGAAAGATTCTCTTCAAATACGCGTAGTCTGGTTTGTCGTCAAATCGAAGCGACCGACAATAATGAAAATATGAGTGAAATTCGGAAGGGTAACTCTTGCACAACGACTGCAAATAGCAGACAAGGAAAAAAAAATGTTAGCAATGACGCTGGAAGCGCCAAATACATTGCACCTCAATCGTTGTAGACATCTTCCTCTCGCTTATCTTCTCGTATTTCTGCTTCTTGGTTCCAGCCTTGAGTCCTTGCCATGGAAGACTAAATGGCAAAAGCTGTCATCAGTAATCACGCTGAGAACTTCACATACCTGCTTCGAAGGAAATACATGAGAACGTAGCCCAAAGACTCGAGATCATCCCTTCTACTTTGCTCTGCAATCTAAATGGGCTGAGAATCCAAACCAGAATCCAAACGGTCATAATTTTACTAACCGATTCCGAGGTGCGTATTGATACTCGCATAGCGTGCAGTTCCGGTCAGGTTCTTGTTCTCTCTGCAGCAGCAGTCACAAAATGAAACAAAGACGAGCTTTTTTACCTGTAAGCGATGTGCTGGTGTGTAGATGGATCGCGGTACTTCTTGGCAAGACCAAAGTCGATAATATACACCTGGAAGTAGTTACGTGATTCACATGCTCACGGGAAAAACAGTCGCAAACCTGATTTGCGCGCCTTCCAAGACCCATAAGAAAGTTATCTGGCTTAATATCCCGGTGCAAAAAGCTCTTTGAGTGCACATACTCCACTCTGTTTATCTGTGCCAGTTCAAATTAAGTGAGTTTTAAACACGCCGGCGACAAAGTACACGTACCAGTTGATCCGCAAGCATGAGCACGGTCTTCAGCGAGAACTTACGGTTACAAAAATTGAAAAGATCCTCAAGACTTGGGCCGAGCAGATCTAAAACTAGACCATTGTAATCCCCTTCGATTCCAAACCATCTTATGTTAGGTATTCCAGCTGCAGAAAAACCAGAATTTGTAAGCTTTGCATGTAAAAATAAGAATAAGAGAGTAGGAACCCACTTCCTCCCTGAAGGATTCTATACAGCTTAGACTCGTATAGCAATTGCGGGTGTTTGGTCTTGACGCTTTCCTACAATGCCCAAAAATTCGATCACATTCTCGACAAAACCTTCGAAAATAATCGCCACTAACCAATTTGATCGCAACTTCTTCGTTTGTTTGGATATTCGTACCTGTCACACATCACTTGAGCTCCCAAAACCCCTCATTGCTAATTTCCCTCTTACCTAGATAGATTTCACCGAAAGATCCACTTCCAATCTTTCGACCGAGCCGATACTTGTTGCCTATGCGCGGCTCCATCCCAAATCTGGCGACCCTAGGATCTCATAGCAGTAGAGGCCCGGGGAAGAGAAATTGCCCGATTGAAAACCCTGAAAACCCTGATCGACACCGGCGATCGCCGCAGCGCCGCACGGATCAAGGCACCAGGACGCGATCTATCCACCTGTGACACGAATTCGATGGCGCCGGTGTGATCCCCTAGAACGCGCCCTACCAAGAAACAACGAAAAAGGAAAGGAAGAGACTCTGTGGGTTAACCCGGGTTAAGCACCAACAGCTGTGATGTGGCCACGTAGCGTCGGCAATGGACGGTTATTCCCACGAGCGTAGCACCTCGCTGGCGTGATCCAGTCCGTCCAAGCCGGGCTTGTCTTACGGCTGTCGGTTACCCGGACGCTGATATTCGCATCGCACGGCAGCATTCCTGCCAAGTGGGGGAGGCATCCGACGCTCGATTCTAGGATAGGATATGATAGCGATTATACAATACAGCTATGGGAAGACAACGCTTGATCGCTCAAGGATGTCGCAAGCACGATGGTCTCTCCACATTCTTTTTGTAGTAAAGGTTGGCACAAAATTTTTCCTCTTTACCATTTTTTAACTTAGACATATTGTCTAAAAATCGAAGTAAAGGATATCTCTTTGCCATTCTTTCTTTGAACATAGTTTAGCTGTTGTCTTTATACAAAACTGCATTTTTACCGGAAAAACGAAGTAAAAATCATACCTTGTCTATAGCTTGTGTCCCGGGAACCTGGAATCACAATCAAAATTGTTAGAGGCAAGCATTCGAAAGTTCCAAAACTTACTTCCATGGGATTTCACTCGTATCGATTCCGGACGCGTGAAGCATGTCCACATGCAAGAGCGCTTCCCTGCATTCTTCACGGTCGTCGTGATACTTCCTCTCCTTGCCGATGATTTGATACTTCTCGTGTCCTTTGCCCGCTATAACCTGGAAGAACCATCGCACAACTTCACGTCATTCACACGAGTAGATGCTTACCACTGCGTCCCCTTCTTCACCCATGGCAACCGCTGCTCGCACGGCGATCTTTCGGAGATCGTAGACAAACACCCTGTTGCCGTTCCATATGGGAGGATAGTAGCTCCTCTCGCCACACTTTAGATATTCGTCCATCGACCATCCGACACCAGCCAACATGTCGTCCAGAATTTCCACTGTTGAAAAGAAAGAGAGACAAGTGGATCAAACTCACGCTTTGCACAACTTCAAACTTACGGGGGTCCTCGGATCTCGGATTATCAGAAGTAAAAATGCAAACTTCGCTTTTTGCAGCAGCTATTTTAGCCATCACTGGTCGCTTTCCTCGATCTCTGTCTCCTCCACAGCCAACAACTGCACGGCAAGAACACACAAGAGTTAGAACAAGAAAACAATTTTCCGCAGCGCAGACAATTTACCTGTGATAATTCGCCGTGGACCACACTCTCGTACTGTGTCCAAAAGCCGAGACAAAGCGTCAGGAGTGTGCGCGTAATCAACGATGACGGCGAAGGGCTGTTCTTCGTCCACCAGTTCGACCCTTCCGGGAACGCTGTCCACCTCTTCTATCCCGCGAACAATATCTTCTAGTGGAGCATCAACAGCAATCCCCACTGAAACAGCCGCGAGAATGTTGTACACGTTGTGTCTTCCCAAAAGGCCTGACGATATCTCGATGTTCCCTCGGGGTGTCTTGACGAGAACGTTCGTCTCGAACAGTGTAAGTTGGATGTCGAGAGGATGCACATCAGCAGACTTTTCCATGCCGAACGTAACCACTGGCACTTTCGGATTTCCCAGCGAAACGAAGTAGCCTGCATTTGGATCGTCTATGTTAACGACTTTCCTGTGCCTCGCAGGGTCGACCATGCTGGCGAAAAGCTTTCCCTTGGCTTCCTTGTAACTGTCCTCGTTCTCGTGGTAGTCCATATGATCCCGAGTTAAATTCGTAAACACCGCAACGTCGAAATCGATTTCCTTGCACCGGTCCTGAGCAAGAGCGTGGGACGAAACCTCCATCACGCAGACCTCCGTCCTGTTATGAACCATCGTCGCCATCAACTTCTGGAGATAAACAGCGTCGGGAGTAGTGTGAGGAGCGTCTTGCTTGTGCTTTCCATGGATGGAGTAAGATATGGTACCGATCAAACCAGTCTTTAGTCCCATAGACTCGTAGATGCTTCTTAGAAGATAGGACGTAGTCGTTTTGCCATTGGTACCTGTGATGCCAACCACGGCCAAACTTTCCGACGGACGTCCATAGAAAGCACCAGCGAGAGCCGACAGGATCGAGTTCGTGTCACTGACTATCACCACTGCCTTGACGCTCTCACCGATCTCCACTTCTTTGGTGGCGACGATAACCACGGCTCCCTGCTCGGCTGCTTGAGGAACGAAGCTATGGCCGTCGGATGTTTCTCCAATGCAGCACACGAACATGTCGCCCGAGTTTACTTGACGGGAGTCGTGATGGATTCCAGAGATGATCACGTCCAAGTCTCCTTCCACAGACAATGGCACGACTTTGGCTTCGTCCAGGAGCTCCGTGAGTGTCATCTTGAATCTCGGTTCCTTGATCACACTCTCCTGGAGCTCTCCAAGCTCCAAGTTGAAAGATGGATCGTCCTTGTCAACTTTCACCTTTGGTGGGGGCGGAGCCTCCTCTGGTATGGATGCTTGTGCACTTTCATCCTTTGCTTCCTCCTCTTCACTTCCATCGGATTCTTCCGAGGATTTCACCACCACATTCGCTGCTCGTCGCTTGGAAACCTTAGAAGCTTCATACCTCTCCCCCAAATCCTTGAGCTTGTTGAACATAGACGAGCTGTTCGCCACGCCATTCACCGCCGCCTTGTCCTGATCCGGTCCGCCATTCTTTCTCGGCTGGAACGCCTCCTCGGGCCCCTCCGCCTCAGGCGGATCATTTCCTGCCGAATCCGCATACCTGTGCTCGCCCTCGCCATCGCCTCCTCGTCGCGGCTTGCGCCCTCGGCTCCTGGTCGCGCACACAGCCACGGATCGATCGGAGCAAACCCTGGCGCCATTCCAGCCCGCGCGAGGCTGCGCAAGAACCCTAGACAGCGGCAATGGGCAAGAAAATGCGGCCAACGCCATGGACGAAGGTTTAAACCAGGGGCTAACGTCATATTCCAGCATCTACCAGAATATCCGGGAGAATAGTCATCCAATCCCTCAAGCTGCCTGTCACGCTGCTCTATGAGCCTTTCTCCTCGCCTACAACCTCAAGCATGGCCAGATCGAAGCTAAGGACATCAACTTTGCCAAGAGCTTTTGGGACGCACTAGACGATCCTGAGTACGTGACGGAGCACCATGACGCGGTATACAATATCACAACTACGCTCTTGGCTGATTATCTCGGGGAGAGTCCTACACCATACCGGGTCCTTAAAGGAGGAGTGGAAGCCGATGGGATACTGATGGCAAACAGGGTGGGAGTTCTCTTCCTGGACTGGAAACCCCAGTCGGGAACTGGTGGAAATCCTTTTTTCGAGAATCTGGATTACTTGAGACGCACTGGACTTGAGGCATGGAAGTATCAAACTTATGCGTTCGCCATCAATGTGGAAGGCCGGCTCCAGCATGTCGTCGCTGCGTCTCTGGAGAGCAAGCACAGAGTTTGGGCCGAGCCCGTCGCAGTGATGACGTGCTATGGAAATTTTGAGCAGCTCACGGATCTGGAGGGCCATTCGCATCTTTATGGAGGAAGTGAGCCACAAAAGACTCATCACGAGGCTGCAAGGTGTGACAACGTCGTGACAGCACGTTTCGAAACTCGAGCGGAGAGATGGAAGCAGTCAAGTTTGCATCGAGCTACTCGGAGGAAGCTCACCGGGCATGGGGTCACAACGCACCGGCGCTCAAAGCTGTGAAGCAAATCGGCGTGGACTGGTGGATGGTAAGCATGGAGTACCCCTCTCGTGACGCTGGGTGGGTGTCCGCAGTGGACGTGGTAGAAGGCGCTCGCAAAGACACAAATCATCTTGCCAAGATCAAGTCCTGCATTGCTGCTGCTGCGGCCACGGGCCACTCGAAAGGTTTTGTGCACGGAGACTTGCGCCTGTGCAACGTTATGCTGAGAGCGAAAACTGAGGGCGGCCTGCCGGAGTATGAGGTGCGTATTTTAGACTTCGACTGGGCAGGAAAGGAAGGAGAAGCTGTTTATTCTCGAGTGGCGAGTCCCGAAGTGGAGTGGCCCCCTGGAGCGGACTTTGGCATGGCGATCAAGCAGGAGCACGACACCTTCTTCATAGACAAATTATGTTGATTAGCATCTACTACTATAAGGAGCAAACGCCGAACTTTGTGGGCCGCCGGATCTGGCCAATCGGGGCCGTCCGATGGGGGGGTAACTGTAAAAGGGTTATTTCTTTGACCACGTGTTTGAGAATAATCGCGCTGATGTTTGCTCCCGGCCAATGGGAGGCGGCCAAGCCACGTGGGGCGGGAGAGGAAGGCCCGGCAACGCGTGGCACATGCAAAGTGTTGACCGGGGATTGCTGTTCCAGGGCGTCACTCCGGGCAGGATCAAGTGGGTCGCGGCCCTTGGAGCGTGCTGTGGATCGCGATTTCCTCCGGTGGGTAAGCAAATCCACTCCCAAATCGTTGCTGCTGGCTGGGATTCGAGCTTGATCGTGTCGTGATCCAGCTTGGTTTTGTTTTGTATGTTTGTCTAGGGTTTTTGAGACGGCGAGAGAGCCCCTGCCGCTGCTGCTGATTCACGATCCAAATCGCCGGATTCTGATCAGACTCACCGAGCAGCTTTACAAGGAGCTCAACGGCAAATCCAGCGACCGAGAGAGGATCAAGCGAGCGCGGAAGATGATGAGGCTCCAGAAAATGCTGGATAGGATCCCAAGTGAGAGGAAACCGTGGAAGTCAGTCCGGTGAGGTGGTCTTCGTGGAGGCAAAAAAACTATATGATCGTGTGGGGAGAGATTTTGTTGCCGAATTCAAGAGGAGACAGGTAAGTTTGATATACCTTCCAGATTCCAGATGGCCGTTTGCTAATAACTTCCGTGTTTGTTGTAGAGAGTTGGAGTAACGATGAGTGTTGTTTTGTTGGAACCATGATGGCGAGAAGATGATTGGCCGGGCTGGAGCGAACTCTAAGACGACTAGACCCTGGGTTTACCTGAGAAGAGAACATGAGCAAACTGTTCTAAGCACGTCGAAGAAACGAGAAATGAAGTTGTCTCCAAGCTCGAGAAGTTGGCT